GCATGGTGCAATTAGCGGAATGCATGGAGCGATCAGCAAAAGGCATGGTGCAACTAGCAAAATGTGCAGTGCAATTAGCAAAAGGCATGGTGCAATTAGTCGAATGCATGGTGCAATAAGCAGAATGCATGGCCCAATTAGCAAAATGCATGGGGCAACTACCAAAATGTACAGCGCAATTAGCGGAATGCATGGTGCGATCAGCAAAATGCATGGGGCAACTAGCAAAATGTACAGTGCAATTAGCAAAAGGCATGGTGCAATTAGCGGAATGCATGGCGCAATTAGCAAAATGCATGGTGCGATCAGCAAAATGCATGGGGCAACTAGCAAAATGTACAGTGCAATTAGCAAAAGGCATGGTGCAACTAGCAGAATGCATGGTGCAATTAGCAAAAGGCATGGGGCAATTAGCAGAATGCATGGTGCAATTAGCAAAAGGCATGGGGCAACTAGCGGAATGCATGGCGCAATAAGCAAAATGCATGGTGCAATTAGCGGAATGCATGGCACGATCAGCAAAATGCATGGTGCAACTAGCAAAATGTACAGTGCAATTAGCAAAAGGCATGGTGCAACTAGGGAAAGGCATGGCCCAATTAGCAAAATGAATAGTGCAACTAGCAAAATGTACGGGGCAATAAGCAAAATGCATGGTGCAATAAGCAAAATGCATGGCCCAATTAGCAAAATGCATAGTGCAACTAGCAGACTGTACAGTACAATTAGAAAAAAGTATGGTGCAATTAGCAAAAGGCATGGTGCGATAAGCAAAATGCATGGCCCATCTAGCAAAATGAATAGTGCAACTAGCAAAATGTACAGTGCGATTAGCAAAAGGCATGGTGCAATTAGCAGAACACACAGTGCAATAAGTAGAATGCACAGTGAAACAAGCAAAATGCACAGTGCAATTAGTAAAATGCATGCTGCAATTAGCAAAATGCAAAATGCAAAAAAAGTATGCAAAATGCAATTAGCAAAAGGCACGGTGCAACTCGCAAAATGCTCAGTCAAAAAGCAAAATTAATAGTGCAACTAGCAAAAGGCATGGTGCAATTCAAAAAATGCCTGGTGCAGCTAGGAAAATGTACAGTGCAAAAAGCAAAATGAAGAATGCAATTAGAGAAAGGCATGGTGCGATCAGCAGAAGGCATGGTGGAATCACCAAGAGATGTGGTGTGATGTGAGAAATGCAGAGTGCCACTAGAGAAATTCGCAGTGCAATAAGCAAAATGCATGGTGCAATTATCAAAATGCAAATGCAATTAGCAAGATACATGTGCAATTAGCAAAATGCATGGTGCAACTAGCAAAATTCATGGTGCAATGGGAGAACTCCAGGGCGTACTGGCGAACTGCAGGGTTCCATTAGCAAAAATCATGCTGCAATGCAGGAAATGCAGGGTGCGACTGGAGAAACGCGGGGTGCAACTAGCAAAATTAATGGTGTGACATGAGAAATGCGGGCTGCAGTTGGAAAAAATCATGGTGCAATTAGCAGGATTCACCACGCGCCGGGAGAAACACAGGGTATAACTGGAGAAAGCTGTTCCCCAGGCACAGAGCACTTAGCAAAATGCATGGAACAACTGGAAACGGGCACGCACGGAGCATTTAGCAAAGTGCACCGTGCAATGCAGAGCATTCAGCGAGAAGAACGCTGCATTTAGCAAAACGCACCGTGCAATCAGAGCACACAGCAACACCGGCTGCAATGGGTGAAATATTCCCCCTCTGCCGATGCTTTTGCTTGCCCGATCTGCCGGGAATTGCCCCCAAAAAAGGTACCTTCGTGGGAGCAGTTGTTGTTGAGGGCGGGCGAGAAGGCGCGCAGCTCGCGCAGCACGATGGGCTCCGCGCCCCCGCTGTCGTCCGCCAGCTCCGTCTCCGTCTCCTCCTCCTCCTCCTCGTCTTCGGCCTCGGGATCGGCCTCGGGGTCGGGCGAGCTCTGCATCAGCTCCTCCAGCTCCTCGATGACCTGTGGGGCAGCGGGGGGGAGGCTGCACCCTGCTTTGCACTGCCAGCCTGCACCTAGATTTGCGCCCGTATTTGCACCCAGCGTTTGCACCCACATCTGCCTTCTGCACGCGCATTGCGGGCAACATCTGCAGCTGCATTTGCACCCAGCGTCTGCAGCTGAATTTGCACCGTGCACCTGCACGCCGTGCCCACATCTGTATTCTGCACATGCTCCAGAACCAGCATCGGCACCTGAATTCGCTCGCTCCGGCACCTGCGACCTCCATCCCAGCCCTAATTCCCACCTTCATCTGCATCAACGCCTGCAAACTGCAACCCCTGTGGCCCAAAACTCAGGATTTGGCCTTTTTTTTGGTGCTTTGAGAAGATGTCGTGGGTCCACGACGTGGGGCGCGCGGGTACCTGCTCCGCCGTCAGCAGCGGCTCCTCGTTGATGCCGGAGTCCTGCTCGCTCCTCTCGGTGAGCTCTTCCTCCTCGTCATCCTCATCCTCCTCTTCCTTCCCGCAGAGCTGTGGGGACACAGGGGATGTGGGGACACGGGTGGCGCGGCCACCCGGAGCCGCCACGGAGAGAGACGGCAGCACCAAGGGCTCATTGGGATGTTGGACACGGATGTGGGATGGGGATTTGGGATGGGAAGAGGCTGGAAGATGTTGGACAGGGAGAGGATGCATAAGGAAATGTGGGATGGGGAGAAGTTGAGCATCGAACTTCTGTTGGATGAGGATGTTGGGCAGGGCAAGGTCGGACAGGACAAGTCCAAGGATGTGACATTGGAAGAGGATGGATGGAAATACGGAACGGGGAGAAGTTTGATGGGAACACGCTCCACATGGGATCTAAAGATGATAGATGGGGAGAGGTTGGACAGGGACACGGAATGGGGAGAGTAAATTAAAGAGGAGCTGGATGGGGACATGTGATGCCGAGATGGTGCTGGGACATTGGATGGAGAGAGATGGGTTGCGGAGAAGTTGGATGGGGACATGGAGAGGTTGGACAGAGGGTGGATGGGCACATGAGATGAGGAGATGTTGAGGGGGTACAATGGATGGGGAGAGGTTGGATGGGGCCATTGGATGGGACGGGGCCATGTGATGGCGATGCGGGACAGGGACATGGGATGGGGAGAGGTGGGAAGGGGATGGGACCACCAGACAGCAAGAGGTTGGATGGGGACATGGGATAAGGAGATGCTGGACAAGGGCATGGGATGAGGGAAAAGGGGGTCCTGGGCACACCTGGGTGTCGCTATCACTGGGGGCTTCGGTGTCGGGGAGCAGCCAGCGCCGGGGGGAGCCGGGGGGCGCGAAGCTGTCGGTGAGGGCGTCCCAAACCCTGCGGGAAGCCCCAAAACGCCAGTGAATTCCCCCCAAAAACGCCTTGAAACACCCAAAAATGCCCCCAAACGGCACCGTCAAAATCCCCCAAACACCCAAATCACGTCAAAATCCCCCAAACATCCACAAGGTTCCTCTGAAATACCGCAAACCCCTCTCCAGGGGCCAAAGGCCTCCAAAAACGCTTCCACAGTGCCCTAAACCACCGCAAATCACCCCAAAAATGCTGTCTCGAAATGTCCCAAAACACCAGCCCCAAAAAGGCACCCTGAAAGACCCCCAAATGCTGATGCAAAGCCCCAAATTATCCCTGAATTGCCTCAAAATGCCACCCTGGACCACCTCAAACCCCCTTGACTACAGCTCTGAAACACCCTCAAATTGCCCCAAAACACAGCCCCAGGACTCCAAAAATGGCTGTCCTGAAACACTCCCCAAATCTCCTTAATACACCCCAAAATGTGCCCTGCTGTCCTGAAATACCCTCAGAGCACCCCAAAATGACCCCCAAAACCTCAGAAGTGCCCCCAAAGCACCCCTCAAAAAACCCAAACACATCAAAATGCTGCCTTAAAGCACAGACCCAAAACACTCATAAATATCCCCGAAACTGCCTAGAAACCCCTAGAAATTGCCCTAAAACATAAGCTACAGCCCCAATGACCCAAAACGCGAAAAAAGCCCAAATTAATCCAAAACAGCCACAAATTGTGCCCCGCTACTTTATTTTGCCCCTGTATTTCTGAAGCTGGGCTGATTTTCCCCAGTTTCACCCCAAAAATGAGGGAGGGGAGTAAGGAATGAAATGGGGGCAGGGGAAAGAGGGGGAATGGGGAAAATGCCATATCAGAAAAAAAAGGGAAGAAAAGGGAAAATAAGGAAAAGTAGGGGGGAAGGGGTAGAAAAGAGATAAAAGGGTGATAAAAAGACGGAAAAGGAGGGGAAAAAAGGAGGGAAAATAAGGGGGAAATAGGGAAATATAGGAAAATATAGAAAAGGAAACATAGAAAAAGAAGAAAATAGCGAAAAATAGGAAAAAGAAGGAAAAGGGGGAAAAAGGGAAAAGGAGGCAAAAGGGGACCCCGTGGGAAGAGGGAAAATGGGAGAAAATACTAAAAAAAAAAAAAAAGAGAGAGAAAAGAAAAGGAGAAATTTCCCCCTGACCTTAATTTAGGGAAAACCCACTAATTCCCCCCTTTTTTTCCCCACTACCCAAACTGCCTGGTTCTGCTCATATTCACCTCAAAACAGCTCCATCAGCCTCAAATCACCCCTCGCCACTCATTTTCATGCATTAATTCACAAAAAAAATGTTAAAAATGCATATTATGTAATATATAAATAAATAATATTAAAAATATATAACTATATATCAAACTATACTTAAATATATAAGAAGTATGCAAAAAATAGAAAGAAAGGAATATAAAATATAACAAAAACGAAGCAAAGAAAGAACAAGAGGGAAAAAAACCCAAGTAATTAGCCCTTAAATTGGCTTTTTTTCCCGGTCTTAAAGGGCCACGTCCCACAGGACCAGCTGCTGCTGGGGATTTTTGAGTTAATTCCATCCACAACTGGTTAATAATTAGGAAAAAAAAATGGGTGTTTTACAGTCTCGGCCCATCCCCCCTCCATGCACACAGGGCTCATTGAAAAACAGGATTAAAAAAAAAGCCCTGTTTTGCCCAAACCACCCCAAAACAACATGCTCTAAGCGGCACAAAGCGGCGACAGCGGCGCTCTGGGCACTGGGCCAAAATCCCGTTTTTTTTTCCTCGCAAAATCCCTCAGATTTGGCCACTTATGAAAAAAAGCCATCGGGCTAATGCGCTTTTGGTTGAAAAAAACCCAGATTTGGGGCACTTTGAGGTGAAAAGTGATGGTGTCACTCGTCAAGAAATGAGCATCTAGGGCTGCACCCCCTGGCTCAATCAATCTGTGTGAGGCAGGCACGAATGCAGCAGCCCCCCGAAACGGGCACAAAACAGCCTTTTTCTGCCAAAAAGAACAAAAACAGCAAGCAAAAAAGGGAGGAAAACTGATGTGTTTTCACACAAATGCTGCTGGGCCAGGATGTGACGCATTTCATGGCTGGGGCTACTCATACTTTACCCTACCAGGACTCATAAGGTCCTACTCATAGTTTACTACAACGTTACTTATAGTTTACTACACCTCGGTTTGTAGTTGACTACAACAGGACTACAGTTCACACCAAAGCATCTCAGTTCACTACAATGGGACCCATAGTTCACTACAGTGTGACTCAGTTTACTACAATGTGACTCTTTACTACAACGTAACTCTTCGTTTACT